CGTTATTGTCTCGTTGTCGTCGGTGAATTTTTTTTTTAAATTAACACTGATTTAAAGAGATAGTTTACCAAAAAATTATTTACTCTCATGTTGTTCCAAACCTGTATGACATTTATTTTTCTGCATAACACAAAATAAAAGATTTTCAAGAATGTTTCAACTTCTGTCTTTACAATGAAAGTCAATGGGGTCCAAAACAACACTGGACACCACCAACTTTTATTGTATGTAAAAAAAAAAAAAAAAACTGTCCCTTAAAAGTCACTACAAGGAACATAAGAAATATTATAAAAAAAGGAATATCATAATTTGAAATATAAAGGCAAAGCACTCTCACTGCAAAGCATACTCCCTCATCTTAGATCAGAGGTTTAAGTGTCTGGCTAAAAGCCCTGTGCTAAAGGTTACAGCTGGGTGGAGGATGTTCTCACTGTTTGGATTTGAGCATCACAGCAGGTGTCAAAGTAAAGAGAAATAATTGGATTGTGCTTGAACCCAGTTTAAGTTAAGTAGATTTTACAGATACTACAAATCTCCTGTCTGAACAGGAAAAAGCCTGACCTTCCCTCCAACTATGACTCAATGGGTGACATGTGTGTGCTGGTGAAGTGTTTGTGCTTTTGACAGGATTTGTTTCTCTTACTCCCTTTCTCTCTACAGTACAATACTGTACATTACTCTCCTTTCTTTTTTCCCTCTCTCTCCCTCTCTCCCATTCTCCAGCTGCCTACATTATTATTTGTGGTGATGTTGCGTAACTTTGTTGGCAGTTGGCCTGAGAGCCATGCTAGAGCTCTGCAGGGGTCAGGAGAAAGTGTGATGGAAATAGAGAGAATTAGAGAGAGAAAGCCAATAAGCGAGTGTGTGTGGCCAAGAGATCCAGGTAATAAACCCTTTGTGCTTTGAGGCACCTACAGTACAGTATATTACAGTTTCATTGGGTTTATCCCTCACGGTGGCCTGGCTGATATTATATAATGTCGTGTTGGATGCACTTAGTCAAAGTCCCTTTAAGGCAGGCCAGTTCCTTGGTGGCCATCTTGGTAATGCTGTTTTCTATAGGTTTGGGAATTGGGAAAAACCAAAGACCTGTGTGTGAAGATAGTATTTCAATCATATATTTGAAATCAGCAATAGTGAAAATCATATTAAATAATAATATCAAAACTAATAATATAGTAATATAATTATTTATTGTTTTCAATTGAGTATTATAATTAATAAAGTCCTAATAATAAATATAAATATCCTTTTTTCCTAAGGTATAAATTCCAAGTACATTCAAATACTTTCACATTCACAAGAAAAAAAAACAACTAATATTTAAAGACTAATAATAAAGTCATACCTTTTGATCCTTGTAAAAATCTCTTCACCCTGACTCCTGAAGCTGAGACTACGCTGCAACAAGAATGTTATGACGAGGCAGCAGAAGAACCGGAGGCAATTGTTTACCTCCTCCAGTCTTATCAATGGCCTCAGTCATTTGCGATCAGAGTGGATGGAACACTCTGTATGAGAGCAGGTGTTCAGATAGCAAGGTATTCATCGCTCTAGACCATTTTCTCTCAATTCCCTTCCACGCATGCCACTTGACTGCTTGCCTTACTCATATAACACTGCTAATTAGAAGTAGCTGGATCCAATGAGCCTTTGTAGAGATCACTTCAAAGGGACCTTTGGAGAGATTGAGGGGATTGGCACACGGTGACGCCACACACCGGATTTATTGAAAGAAGGAGCTTGTAATTAGGTTGGTGGCTGCATCTCATAAAAAGTGGACACAGCAGCCCTTTTTTTCTTCCGTTCTATCTCTCTGTGTACATGAGGAGCGGTCAATTACAGCGTATTTATGGAAACAATCCGAGTGAGCTCAGGATGATGATAGCAGAACACCACAGAAGCGTAATGTCATTATAAACATCTGACTATGAAATTGTCACGGTCAACATATCTGATTGAATGAATGCTAGAAATAAACACACTGATCTTGCATTCAGAAGGTTCTCTAAGGGCAAGTACCTTTATCTCCGGACAGGAACAATGTCTCAATTACATCCGCAAACAACCGTGCTGCACCCTGCTGACCTGCTGCTACTTAGTTTAATGATGTGGCTGATAGGGAAACGAGCACAGGTGCAGCAATAGGCCTCGCATACAATCAACTATAAATGTATTTTTAACCGGACCTGTCCTCTGCCTCCCAAAATAGAGTAGCAGGCTGTGAGATGTTTACACAAAGCTGCTGTTCTTCACATCTAAATTGATGTGACGGTACCTGAATAGCTGCTGCTGCTGCCAAGGTCAGCTCAATGACTAAGTTCCATCACTTCCAGGTGTGGAAGGGTCAGATTTCACAGTGGTGCTTGATGTGTGATCTTTTATAACTGCTGTCCGTGACCTACCTATACTTTAAAGTTACACTGTATACACTTGTATATGAAATGCATGATACTATTATATACTACCATTCAAAAGTTTGGGGTCGGTAAGAGACAGAAAAAGAGAAAGAAGTCTCATATGGTTGCATTTAGCTATTTGATCAAAATACAGTCAAAGTATTAATATCGTAAAATATTATTACAATTTAAATGAACTGTTTTCTGTTTTAATGTATTTTAAAATGTAATTAATCTAGCTTATTATAGCTTATCTATTTGGAATAGAAATCTTTGTGCTGAAAAAACAATATACCGTAGATGTCTTTTAGTGTTGGTTTGGATCAAGTTAATGCATCATTTCTGAATAAAAGTATTAATTTCTTAAAAAAACTTTTGGGTCCCACTTTATATTAACTGGCCCTAATACCTGTGTACGTACATAGTAACTAGATGTGTACATAGTATGTAACCACAGTGTAAGTACACATTGGTACATAATATCTACAGCTGTAATGTTTGTGTAACTACACATATGTAACAACCCACTGAATGGTATGTGTAAATACAAATGTGTAACAGAACATTGGTAACGACACTTTTTGGTAATGAAAGTACAAATTTGTAACAGGTCTAACAACACTTTTGGTAAAGAAAGTGTTACACTTTATATTAAGTAAACAATTCCTATGGATTTACCATGTAATTACTCTGATGTTACACAGCAGCGGCCAGTAAGTTAGGCTTTACATATAAACATACATATATATAGAATGTTACACTTTATATTGTGGACAGTTCCTGAGGAGTTACCATGTAAGTACACTGGTATTACAGTGGTGCACCAACTCCACCAACTTGAGATCCAACTCCTCCCACTTTACATATCCCTAAACCTACCTACCTCCACCCCCTGGATCAAATTGTTCCAATTACTCTTATACATATTGTTGTTACAAAATGTAGTTATATATGTCCTGCTGTTACACATTTGTGCTTACACAACTCATTCGGAGGGTTGTTACATGTGTGTAGTTACAGAAATATTACAGCTCTAGATACTATGTACCAGTGTACTTACACTGTGGCTACATACTACGTACACATCTAGTTACTATGTACAGTAAGTACACAGGTATTAGGGCCACTTAATATAAAGTGGGACCAACTTTTGACTTTTGAATGGTAGTATACTTTAGAGCTGTGGTTCTCAAAACTTTTTTGAAATAGTAGCGACACACTAATATATAAAATATTGCATATGCAGAAAAGGTGATACGTACTTTCATGTTTCATGTATTTTCATGATTGATAAACAGTACATGGTACTATTTTATTTCAATAAATTGTAAAAGAAAGTCTTTTTAAATGCTTCAGGAGAATAGGCATCACAACATTGTAAAAATGGATCTCCAATTTTGGGATTTGCAAAGGTTACATTTAACAGTTTTAATAAATTATTAGTATTTTTAGAGATGACTTTTAAGTGAGTGTTAGATGGTAGTTTTTGTATAGACAGGAAGAACAATTAAAAATCTAATATGTCCCAATACATATCCAGTATCGACTGAAACTTTTTTATTAAATAAGTTTGGTGTTTTAACCAATATGTTACTGACTTTTTGCGCACCCCAAGGAAATAGCCTCACTTTCACCATTCCAGAATTTTGCTAGATTGCTGTTTTATTATTTTATTGAAATTAGACTGCTGTTTTGCTAATGACCTTAAATGAACCAATCTTCGCTAGTTGTATTCACAAGTGTCATACAACTTCAGTGACACAACAGAAACACTTTATCACAAATTAATTTTAACCCAGTTTGTTAGGTAATTGCCATGAGTTGATTTCATCTGATTCAGTTCAGTGTTAAAACTAATTCAATTTTTCTTGACAAGTTTAATTATTTGGTCAATTTAGCTTTCTTTTCTACCCTCAGCTATTAGCCAATCAACTCGCAGACCACATGAAATCCTTAACGGACCCAAGTTTAGGAACGTTTGCTGATTTACAGATAATGGAAAAAGCTTCCTTGATAAAAGAAATGCAATCAGCCTTAAAAGTTAGCACAGTTGTGTCTAATCTAGAATTGTTTATCTAATATTTTCCTTAATTACCATATTTGATTCAGTAACATAGCTGATTTGCTATGCGTTAGATTTTTCTAGACATACTGAATCTTTATGATCAGATGAGAAAACATCATGCTGTTACCTAAAAATGTCCCTCCATACATATTCAGTAGCAGCACAGACTCCTTCGCTAATGAGTGTTGTAGAAGTCCCTGCGGCCAAAACTACGTCAGTTCACCAGCAAATAGGGATTAGATTGTGGCTAGGCGAAATCTTTTACTGCTAAGACTCGTTCAAAGTCTTTGTGTGAACAAGTAATCAAGCCTTGGTCTGTTTTATTGATTGGTTGTCTCAACTTAAGATCTGTGGATCAATGAAGAGGTATAGAGACTCAAAGAAACGTTTTGCGCTTCCTCTGCTGGACAGACAGCTAGTGGTGATTGTATTGTTATTGTAATGATCTAACTGTAATAACCATTCTCAAATTCACTTGAAGTAATTCTGTTGAAACTTCTCATAAATTCTCACTGCCCCTCTTTTCTGCTCTGCAGTGGGACGTCTCCTCATCGAATTCAGCTCCCAGATAACCCTCGAGCGGGTGCAGAGAGAGAACCCTAATGTGACAGAAGGGGGGAAATACACTCCTCCGGACTGCCGGCCAAAACAAAAGGTGGCCATCATCATCCCGTTCAGACACAGAGACAACCACCTTAAATATTGGCTTCACTACCTGCACCCAGTCCTGCGTAGACAGAAGATCGGCTATGGGATCTTTATCATCAACCAGGTTTGTGTGTATATGTGTGTTTGTGTAGGACACTTTTCACACTACAGCTTATAAAGGGATAGTTCAGCCAAAAATTCTGTCATTCATTATTGACCCTCATGTTGTTCCAAACCTGTAAGACCGTTAAAATTACGGTTGAACCATTGATGTCACATGGACTATTTTAACGATGTCATTACTACGTTTCTGGGCCTTGAACGTGTCAGTTGCGATTCTGTTTATGCAGCATCTGAAAGCTTTCAGATTTCATCAAAAATAATACGGGTTTGGAATGACATGAGGGTGAGTAATTAATGACAGAATTTTCATTTTTGAGTGAATTATCCCTTTAACTGTCCATATGATCCCTGATAGGGAATCTGTATTTTTCAAACAGGATATATGGTTTATAGCTGGCCTAAGATGGTTATTAGTAAATCTGAGGTAGGCATTAATTGGTCCAAACTGATTGACAACCATCATGTTTGGAAAACCAGCTTTACCATCTTAAGCTGCTAGCTGGTTTGTTGTTGGTCCAACATGGACAGCTTGGAACAGCTAAAGAGCAACTAAAAACCATATTCCGAAACAACCTTTATCTGGATCTTAATCTGGATTTTCCAGCTAGGATATCAGAGTTTGTTTGGTTGGTTGCTGTGAAAGCTGTTTTCACATCAAAAAACCACAAAGAATGGTAAAAAAAAAGGTCTTCTTCATTCCAAACCATGAAGTTTACCTTCTGCTCCTGAGTTGTTGTCTAGCTTCAGTGGAAAACAGCTGCCTTTAGTAGGTCTATTCTAGGGATGTAACGATTCACTCAACTCACGATTCCCGATTTTGTTTTTACGATTCGATTCGATTCACAATTTTTTTTTAACAAAATGAGATTTAAGACAAATTATAAATTAAATGTGTCCTTTTATTATTGCTTAGACAAAATACTGTACGTTTCTTTGTGAAATTGAAATATAACACTATAATAATATACTAATATAGCACTTGCATATTATTGCTCTTTTGTTGGTTTTGATTGCTTCTATTGTCCTCATTTGTAAGTCGCTTTGGACAAAAGCGTCTGCTAAATGACAAAATTTAAATATAATGTAAATGTAAATAACAAAACTAAATTGAAAATTTAAAACAAGCCCCAAATAAAATAAATAACACAAATAAAATAAATATCTTCATATAAACAAAATAAGGCTTTGTCTGTGCTCTTTCCATTTAAAATTAGAGGCAACCACTGCATTTTAATCATGATCCAAACAAAGATGCTGCATACATGAAACATGAGCCGTTTTAATCTAAATTACATTGTATAATTTCTAAATATCTGCATGAAACCGAAACAGCTGAGCTGAATGAGACGCAGATTCACTCTCTGCCAACAGGTGGCGCTTAAAGCGTTTCCTTGGTTTCCGCTGTAAACAAAGCAGTTTGTGCGACCAGCTGAGAAAGTTAGTTGCAAAAGAGCGACCAGTGGGAAGAATGAGTCTAGAGCCCTGATATGCATTTTACAGAGGCAAGAGGAAAATAAAAAATACCATCGAAAGACAGTAAGTTCCCCTCAGACATACATTCATATAAACTCCTACCCCTAACTGAATCGCGATTTGTTTAGCATCTCAACCGATTTGAATCGTCACGTATTTGAATCGATTTTCAACCGGCTCGCGGTTAATCGTTACATCCCTATCTATCACTGTGATAATACACTGATGACAACATAGTTCGGAGCTAAATATCAAAACCTCTACCATAGTGGATGCTGTCGAGGTTAACTTAAAAACAGCGACTGGAAATAAGGAGCCTTAGAGGGTGTTGTGTTTAAATGGAAGTCAATGGAGGAGATGCTCTGGCATGCTAAATAAACTGATTTTGTGTAGAAACAGCTTATTAATTAATATATTGATTGACTCTTTGGCTGGTTATCATCAACAGATTTGTTGTTGGGTGCTTATTTGGTTATATCATTTTTTGCTTATATATACATTTGGAGGCTTTTTCCAATAATACAGACATGGCTGTTGATATTTCCTCCAACATCTGGTGAAATACTACAAGAAAAGCAACCTGTGGGGGTTGGGGTTGGTGGTTAGGATTGAACTCTGATTTGGACCAAGCAATCGAAGCATTTGTGTAAACAGCTGGAAGCTTTGCTGCTCTTCTGCCTCCCCCTCTTTCATCAGTCTGTTGTTCTATCTGTGGAGTGACCCTGGAGGGGAGGCGGAGATGTTCAAGGCCATGAGAAATCATTAGCCTGCTTGCCACATTGTTGTCTGCCTAGGCCGGTTGTTTGGGCTAATGAGAGCGATCAAAAGTTTGCAGCTATCCATCTTCAAAGTTTGCAGAGTAATGATGTGACCTGTCGAGCAGCGAGCGCTGAGAGATCTATCTGTGGAGTAACAAACCAGGGCAAAGTGTCTGTAATGGATGGAGCATCGGCTGAACTCTGGGCTAAGGTTACCTTCCTTTTCTTAGAGGCATCACATCACTAAATGCAGGTTAAATATGCGACAGATTGATGTTCGTCTTATGAACTTTTTATCTTCGAGATTTAAAACCACTGAACAGAGACAATAAAACGACTCTTTTTTTAAATTGCAGTCTTTACTATCCATGTGACAGTTGGAGTTAATTTAAAATGCAAAGCAATTGGATCTTCTTCAGACTCAGCTTTATAGATTACTGCAGACCGAATGATTTTAGCTAGCGCTGTCAATCGATTACAAATTCCAATCAAATTAATTGCAGGATATGCTGATTAGTTAGTAAATGAATCACAATAAACATCATAAATCAATATTTGCAAAATATTTTCAAATATTTGCAATATTTGAAAAAAGCCCCCAGATGAGAATGTCAAAATAAGTAAATGATGTTGAGTACTGTTTAATAGTTAAAAAATGGTTGTCAATATGTTTTATTTACATATAATTGAACATACAGTAAGTAGCCTATATCACTGGTTTGCCATCCACAGAAATCCATTTTGCTATTAATTTTGTCAGTATATCTGAGGTAGACTTGCATTTCCTCTGCACTACTTTTGAAATGTTGGTCTGTACCAAAGAGGTAAAATATACACAACCACTCAATAGTTAGGAGTCGGTAAGATTTTTATAATGTTTTTGTTCTCTTATTCTCACCTAGTCTGCATTTATTTAATATAAAACACAGTAAAAAGAGTAAAATGATGAAATATTATTACAATTTAAAATAACGGTTTCTTCTTTTAAGATTTTGAAATGTTATTTATTCCTAAGATGGCTTAAAATAATAAATTAAGAGTTCAAAAGAATAGCAGTTATTTGAAACCGTTTTTTGTAGCATTGTCTTTATTGTCACTTTTGATCAATTTAATACATTTAAAAAATGTAATTCTCTTTAACCTTTGCATTGCATTTTTAGCATCTCTGCGATTCAGCAAAAGTGATCATTTTAAACCTTGAGAGGTATAACTACAATGCATTATTTTTCATTAAATGAATTACTGTATGTTAAATTACCAATTAAATTGTGCAGTCTAGTCTTAACCAAACTTTTCATAGTGCTTTTTAAAAAAATATTTCTATGTATCTTTGATTTTTATAATAATATTTCTAATTTTTGTTTTTCATTTCTAATTCAAATGTTTTAAATGTAATTTTTTAAATATTTTTTATTATTTCAGCTTTTGAAAATTATTAACAATTTAAGTTAACAATAATGACACTGAGGTGTGCATCTGCTATTTATATCATTTACTTAATGTGTTATAGTCATATGTTTATTTAAAAATTTATGGAAATTATTTATAACTTACTTTAAAAAGTCCTTCCATTTTGCACACTTTTGATGTTTTCTGTAAAACTTGAACTCATTGTAGTCTTTGAAGCCTGTCTCATATCAAACAAATCTCTTCTTCTGACTCAACACTTGTTAAGTCAGGCCTTCAGAGATACCCTATAAAACTTATGCTAACATTCATGGAAAGATATTGTTTGCACGTCTGTTTTGTTTGCTCAAGCAGTGCTGCCAAAGTGTGTTGAGAGGGGGTCTCATCAAAAATGTAAAATGTGTAGCTAGTTATTTGCGCCGTCAGAACTGAGCAGTGAGGAACGCACACCATCTGCACATACACTCTCAATAGTGACATTAAGCACTCTGCGTTTTCATTACGCAAGCAGTAACAGGAAATTTCCTCGCTCAGCTCTGTGTATCTGAACAAAATGAGCTATAGGGCCAGTGTTTTGCTCATTTCTCAGTACAAGCTGTTTGCTAAACGAGGGCATTTCTGTATGTTGGCGTAGATGGTACTGTACATCCAGGGTACCTGTTTAACTACCATTAGGAGACACAAACAACAAGACCCTTTCAATTTTGAAAGAACTACATGCGTTATACAACAAAAGTTTGTTTCTCTCCATTTTGACTTGAACTGCCATTTAAAAATGTTCTTTAATTCATTTTGAGGGCTGTGTCAATACTGATCATCATCCATTGTGTTTATAATATAACACAATACATGATACATTGAAATTATCAGAGTGCAATGTTCTTCTGTTTCAGCTGAAGAAAGCCTTTTTCAAACAGTTACTTTATTACTTATTCATTATCCAAGACATTTTTAGTTTACCTAAAATGAAATCTGCTAAGTAAAGTCTGCCTCAGACATTTTCAGATGGCCAATTCCACAAGCATTTCTTATCATGTTGCTGCTAAAGTGCTTGAATCCATGGCAATCCTTCTTTAGCATCTTTTATTCAACTGGCTGGCAAAATAGAACAATCTTTTTTGGATTTTTTAATTAATTTAACAAGTAAAAAAACTACTTTATTGCCTGTTTGTCATTTTAAAAATAGCTATATCCATTTTTTTTTGTTTTCAACTTTTCCTTTCTATAAAAAGTTTTATTCTCTTTTGAAAGCCCACCAAAATTGACCAAATTGTACTGTTCTCCCAAAAAAGACATTTCTGTCGTCATTCACTAACTCTTGTGTAACTCTAAACCTTGTATGCATTTTGTGGAACACTAAATA